GAGAGGGGAAGGGAATGAGACCAACCCTGTAATCCTCGTCTCATGATTTGAGGAAGAAGAGCATTTAGTTGTAACTAGCATAGGGTGGACAATTGGAGAAAAGCTGTGACAAAGGATCAAGATCATGAATTATTTCTATCAAATATAACTACATTGGGGGGGAATTGGAGGTGTTCATTCCCCTCTTGATTTGAAGCCGCAGAGTTCCAATTGAGTGACACAAACTGGTTTAGAACAAACAGCAAAGTGTGCAAAGTTTTAAACAACAAGGCATAACAGAGAAAAGATGGGCAAAAAAATGTCATTCTAGCAGAATGAAAAATAGATAATGTTAAACAACTTGGCCTGACCTCAAATAAATTATTCTCTTGAATACAGAATAGGGATAAGGTTTGCGTACATCCTACCCTCCCCAGTCCCCACTTGTGGGCTTACACTGAGTATGCTGTTGTTGAATACAGAATAAAGGAACCTCCTGCAGCATGTTAAAATCAGTTAGGAAAGTGAGATTAAGGACTCCACAGTTACATGATTTTAAGAGTTCGAACTAAGCATGATCCATGATAAAACAAAACGGTCAGAAATCAAAATAGATTTGAGTGTCACATTAATTGATTTCACGAAATTTAGCTGAGCAGACAGCATAAAACTAAAAACCTTCAGTGAACATCTTGAGTTTATTAGACTAACTCTTGAATCTACATGCTTAAAACTGTTGCAGCTGAAATCTACTCAAATGGAAGTGTATGACATGTGTCCATTCTTAGGCACTCGCGTTCAAGAAAAGCTTTTGAGAAAGTTAGAGCAGAATTAACATGTTTGCTGAATGAACGATAAACTTAATAGGAAATGGAAACAAACAACATTAAGATGAAGGAATCAAAAAACATAATTTATTCACCTCGTGAACTACTCGAAGCTGAATTTCAGGATTTGTACTTACAAGAACATGTATGTTGTAAACCAGTACTGAGAGTTTAATCTTTACATAGGCAGATCTCTTTAACACTTAGGAATTACATGCCGCCAGTCGCTGCACAAAAGGTCAAATTAAAAAATATTTATCTATATATATACAAGGATAAGCAAGTATTTTAATAATTTGTATAAAATAATTTTTAAAGAGAACTTTTAAAAGCATACTACCGAGTAAATTTAATTCTTGAATTTGGTATCACAATTTTTCATGACAATCCATGTACTATTAATTCCGAGCATAAATATACGTACGGTAAGATATGGCACCTTGGCCTAACTCAACCCCAAAAACTAGCTCATGAGGGGAGGATTTGTCAAGTTCATATAAGGAGACCACCAATCCATTCCCCAACCACTGTGAAACATTTACCCACTCTATCACCCCCCCTTCATGCCTAGGTCCAATTGGTGCGTGGACAAGGAGCCCCAAACAGGGATGGACGGACTTGGCTCTGATACCATTTAAGATATGGCACTTGGCCCTAACTCAACCACAAAAGCTAGCTCATGAGGAAAGGATTTCCCTAGTCCATATAAGGAGACCACCAATCCATTCCCCAACCAATATAGGATTTTTACCCACTCTTAACACATGCTATAAATTTACAACATATATATTCATGTATTATGAATGACGCATAAAAATTTATATATTATTCATAGGAAAAAAAGATCCATGTGTTGATCCTTGCATAACTAGTTCACTAAATTGACAAATTTATATGTTATACTAATAGATTAATGTTTAGCCTATTCGTCTTGATTAAACTAGATTCTTTTATTGAAATGTTTGGGTCAAAGACGTGTAACTACGATCTTGCCGCTCTATTTACAGCTCATTATCCGAGATGCGAAACTGCAACCTCAGGACGATATATTATTTGTGCCTTCGCCTGGCCTATCACTTGAAATATATCATTTATTGGTCTCTCACAAATCCGAGATGTCTATTTTCACTCTTTTCTTTTGATTTTTGCAACAAGTTTTGAATTAATTCACGACTACTTCTATATCTTAGAACAACCCTGCTCTCTGATCGACATTTTATAGTCTTCATATCTATGGAAAGAGGAAGCTAGGAGAGGATTCTAAACAATTCTATCGAGCCGAACAACAAAAGAGAAAGATAGAATACCTTTCTTAGCTAGCCTAGCGTGCTATAAACCTACAGGAAAATCTCACTCCCTCATAGTTGTTCTTTTCGCCCTTTTTCTTTTACTTTTTTATGGGATTTTAAATAAACTTGCACCCCATCTCACTCTTTGTATTAGATTTAATTAGTTCGGCCTCAAACTTTTGCCACCGAGACCTAAAGGTAAGTTATATAGAATAGTCATAGCAATATGGAATGGGGCAGAGTATTGGCTAGTCAAGAATTCACATTTTCAGACATGGTAAGTAAGAAGGAGGAGAGATGGAAGATTGTCCCGGCTTGTATTTGGTGGTCAATTTGGCCTAAGAGGAATAAGAGGTGTTTTGTAGGAGTACAAAGCAGCTTACAGAATCTTAAGATGAATTGCTTAGGCCTATTTTATTTTTGGTGTGAGCAAAAATTATTTGCTCAAACAGAAGACATTTTGATGTTTGACTTTTTGTAAGGATAAATTGAACCACAGATGTAAGTTGTAATACTTTTGTAGGGTATATAGAATTAATGTTACCTTTCTTCAAAAAAAAAAAGAATTCACATGTTAAGAAGATGAATGTAGCGGAGATGTGGATTCTCAAAAGGATGTGTGGACAACTAGAAGGATAAGATTAGAAACGAGTATATACGGGAGAAGGTTGGAATGGCCTCACTAGTGGACAAGATGCAGGCAGTGTTATCAAAGGGGCGCTTAAGCCCTGAAGCGAGGCTCAAAACGTGTTGAGCGTTTTACCTAGCTTTATGTGCGCTCCAGTGTCGTTGTCAAGGTTCTCTAGCAAACTTTTCCTTGCTAATGAGCCTCTTATTAAGAAGTGACACTAAATAATTGATATTTCACTTTATCATAGTTTGTTTTTCAATTTTGTTGGTCATATACTTGTCATTCATGTTCATAATTATTAGTTTTGGACTAAACATATATATTTGTATTTTGTTCTCCCTTTGCGCCTTTTTTCATTAAAGCCCACACTTTATTTGCACTTAAAGCCCCCATGGACCTTAGAACTTTTTTGCGTTTTTCGCCTTTGATAACACTAGATGCAAGAAGGGAGACTGAGATGGTTTGGGCATGTAAAGAAAATGAATAAATGCCCGATGAGGAGGTGCGAAAGGTTGGCAGTGATAAATCTAAGAAAAGGTAGAGGAAGACCAAGGAAGAAATGGGGAGAAGTGATTATACATGACATGGAACATCTTCGGCTTACCGAGAGTGACCCTAGATAGGAAAGCATGGAGGTCAAGGATAAGGGTAGAGGATTAGTAGGTAATCGAGGTAATTTCTGTGTTTCTTGTGGGAGAGCATGCTTCTAGCTATGGACGGGTTGGGTTGAAATTGAAGATATTAAAATGGGTTGATATAAAAATTGGGTTGGGTCTTGACTCGCCCAAGTTTACTTTGGGTTAAAAATCGGGTTAGGTCATGGCCCGCCTAATTTGACCCGCTTAATCTCAATAATTATAACATATTGTTATTTAACTTTTATACCCCAATTTGAAATTTAACTCTAGAATTTTTTCTTAAAAAAAGTTACAAATGGATAGATAAATCCTAAAAGATATAAAATAGATAGTAATTCATACATTCAATATAAGAACATACATTACATCAATGCAAATAAAAAGTCTTAAAGCGGGTTGAAATTGGAGATTAATTGGGCTCAATTGAGGATTCTCTTAAAATGGGTTTAGGCATGAATGGGTTGAGACATAACCCAATTCAAATTATCTTGAGCCCAACCCTTACGATTTTGGGTGGGTTACCTTTATTTGGGCTCATTTTTGACACCCCTACTTCTAGCTTAGAGCAACTTGTTATTCCCTCTTCTACTTATCAGTATCATTATATTAGTATATTATTATCTTATTCTCCAATAATACTACTATTATTGTTTCTTTTACTTTGATTATCTTTACTATTTTTGTTGTCAGTACTTTCTATAGTATTATCATCATAGTTTTTACTCTTGTATTTGTCCCGAAAAAAAATTTTGAAAACGGTTTTCTTGAGCTGATTATCGAAAACATTCTCTCCAACTCACTCATTGGTGAAATGAACTCACTATGACAATCAGACCCACTGAGTTGGAAATTAACTTC